TACTTGTTTAAAACATTATTATTGTTAAAACATTAAGTAGCGTTAACTCAGATGGGCTATTAATTTCGTATTTGCATTTTGCGTCGATTCACTCTAAACGGCGAAACACTTTTGATATTTTTGCCACCAAATATTATCGCCCATGTATTATACACTGCTCAAAACAATTAAAGGATATTGCGGTTTAGGTGTATTTTGTGGCTGGGAAACTTTTTAGCTGATTGATACATGGTCGACAGACGTAGTAGGTTATATGAGAATAAATTATACATGTTTGGCAGAAAAAAAAAAAAAAAAAGTCCTTTTATTGCGCAATTGTGTACAAAAGGAAAAAAAAAAAAAAAAAAAAAAAAAAAGCTCAATTTGTGCATATGAGAAAAAAAAATAAGAAAAGGTGTTTTCTTCAAATGAAATCATTTTCAGTAGGGGTATGGTTTCCAAGGACGGACCAGCAACGTTGAAAACCTTTGAGGCATGGAGTCAATGAGGCTATTAATCACAAGTTGGGGTATTCTGTCCCACTCTTCCAGAAGAGCTTTTTCCAGTTCTTGGAGAGTTTGTGGCGGATGGTTGGCGGCCAGCAACTCGTCCTCCTAGAACGTCCCAAACGTGCTCTATTGGATTCATGTCTGGAGAACACGCTGGCCATTCCATTCGTACGATTTTTTCGTGCACGAACGCAGAATCATTCCTACTGCTACGGTCCCTTCAGATGAAAATACGCCTATTATCAGGATGAACAGAAAAACGGGATTCATCAGAAAAAAGAACATTGCTCCATTCATTTCTCCTCCAGTTTACATGCTCTGTTGCCCACTCCCTGCGGTCCCGACGATGCCTTGATGTTAGTCTAACACATACCATCGGTCGGCGAGCATACAGACCTACACTATGGAGCCGGTTTCGGACAGTCTGAGTTGAAACCGTGGTGCCAGTAGCCGAGCGAAGGTGTTGTTGGAGAAGAGTAGCATTCATATTTCGGTGTCTCCGAGCCTTTAACACTAAATAACGATCTTCATTGGGCGTTGTTGCCCGTCTACGACCTTGCCCTGGTCTTCGGCCTGCACTTTCAGCTTCCAAAAAACGGTTCCAGATCCTGGAAATCACACTTTGTGCCACTCCAATGGCTTGCACTACTTCGGCTTGAGTTTGGCCCCCTTCTAACCTACCAACAACTATCGAAGCTTCTGAATCGATTAAATGACTTCGCTGAGACATCGTACTCATCGAAACAAAGCAGTCACTGAATGCCGACCATCCTTGTCTTCATTATCTTTTATTCAGTTGAAAGTCAAAATTTCATTCGCTGCCGCTGAAGCGACGTTTTTGACGTCGAACTCAAAATTAGTATACTCCGCAGTTTGAAAATCAGAAAAATTTGCATTTGTGATTCTCTTCTTCCATTTTCGGCAAAAACATTTCGCTTATATCTTTATTTTATATAAAACTTACAATATCCTTAAATTGTTTTGAGTTTATTTAAAGTTTATTTAAAGAAATTAAATAATGAATAATCTGCATAAATGTATTATGTATGTTGCTCGCATTGTGATAAAACAACGGTACCAAGAGCCATCAAATTATGAATAACGTACTTCTTCACCCGAATATCGGCATCTGGAAGCACACGTGTGGAATTTGCTTTATTATCTGTTTCATATTTTATAAGACATTTATGAGTTGTGATTAAGAAACTCAATGATTTCAAAGCGAGAAATGGCAACACTGTACTCAAAAAAAAAAAAAAAAAATCTCAATCTCCAGTGCGCGAGACTGTGAATCGGAAATTCTTAAGAAATGCTCTTTTAAATATTTACCGAAATTGCTTTGGATTGAATTTTATGGCTTAATAGCGAAGAACTATTTAATAAATAAAGGTAACACTCAAAATGTTAAAAAAAGCCTCTTTGGGCGTAATATAAAATCTGAAAACCTTCCGATTTTTTAAAATAATTTTAAGTTAATAATTTTAAATGGGCTAACCAGACGTTCCGGTTTGATTGGGATTGTCTCAGTTTGAACATATGGTCCCGGTTCCGGACGTACTTGTTATTTTGACGCGGTTATTTGTAAAAAATTAAGAAATGGCAAATATGATTGCTTTCAGCAACTAATATCAATAAAATCAAAATACATATATAATCATCTTGACGATCCTCTTGATCTCGATAATCATCTTGACGATCGATTATGATCAGGAATACCATCCTCCTCGCTTAATTATGAAGCAATGGCCTGTGAAATGCAATGACAATATCACACTGACTTTACAAATTATATTTTATATAGAATTTTTGTACCAACGAATTGTAAACCAAAGAGTTTGTAAACTTTTGTCTATAATGCTCAGTAATTATTTATTTCACATAAGAATTCACACAAAAGAATTATATCTTAAAATTATATTTTTGAAATATATTTTTTTGTATATCATGTATATTATTAAATATGTTGACTATGACAATTTACCTTGAAAGAATAAATGTACCTGCTATCCCAGAAAGTCCCGCAATGAAGGGTGAGTGAGATAAACACCACTTACGCAGTTTAAAACAGGATCAAGCCGCCCAGACGGTATAGTGGCTAGGCTGCGATATTGAAAGGCCCGGGTTCGAATCCCAGAGAAGGCATGGATGTTGTGTCTGTGCGGCATGAGGGCATTCAAAATATGCGGCAAACTGACGTAGAAATCCCTCGTATTTGTACCCTCGGGCTACTGATCTTGGAAAAAATTGGGGCCGGAACAGAGCGAACTCCTTTTGTCACATGTGTAGTGTTCAAGGTAACAGGATCAATTTTGCTCTCCTTGCCACGATGAATTTCGTGGGCTTGTTCTGATATCAATGTCAGGCAAGTGAGTTCTGATGTCAATGTCAGGCAAGTGAGATAAGTCACACAACAACACAGCAAACAGGAGCAACGAAAAGTCAGCTACGAAATCTTGTGAATGACAGAAACTCTTGGTGGGAAATCCAAAAGTCTAAATTAATTTGTATTAAACATGTTTTTTAATTGCATGATAACAAAGGCTAAGTGTCATGTATACTTTTCAGATTTCCTTTAAGATTTTAAAATTCATCCGTTGGTTTTCATTCTCACGACGATCAAAATTCATTTCTGTGCAAGTGCTGTTACTGGATAAGGAAAAATTCTAAAAATACACTCAAGTAGTGACATACTTCCTTTCTTCGATTATTAATTCTTCAATTATGGTTATCTTAATGTTCTTTTTAAATTTTTGATTAATCCTCTTTAGATTAATCTGTAGAAAATATACACTTTGAAGTTGCCTGACACAGGTCATTTTTCTTTGAGAATCAGTAACATTATGTTTATATAAATAATAAATATGCAACAGATTGATACGTAAAAAATCAAAAATATTTTGCTTTCTTACGAATGAAATACGGTCTACATAAATATACAGAACTATTTTCCACGAAATCAAAGTCGCTTCAAAGTTTACTTTTATCTCAACTTCAGACTGGCATGATTATCCACGAAATTAAAGACCGTGTAAAGTTGAATTTTATCTTAACTTCATACTGGCATGTTTCTCTTCCATGTAATAATTATATATAGTTAAAAAATTCAGTTTTTCAAAAAGAAAAGTCAGTAGTTCAATAATATTCAAGAACGTTTTATGGAAATATCACTTTTATATTCTTATGAAACTTTTCAGGCAAATTCATAATGTTACTTAATATTAATTTTTTAAATAACTCAATAAGGCATTATTAATAGGATCCAAAATTTTCAATTAAGAATTCTCAGATTTTTTTCAACTAATGCTACTTTTACAGAGATTTGCAAATAACTTCCATCATAACTATCCCATTCCATAGTGCTTTCTTAAGGAAATGCTACTGCTATTAGTAAATTATCTCATTATTGAGACTTCTGTCGTAGAATTACTTGAAGAGAAATAAAAAATATGCAAAAATATACACAATTAAAAGGCCACATAGTTTAGTGTTCGCAAATAATAAATTTGACAATTATACGCACATAAAAGCTTTTGCTCTGTTACTGCAAGTGTCACTAAGTTTAAAAAAATTCCGCAAGCAAATTAATTTTTTTTAATATTATTTCTTCCATCAAATATTAATTTGATGTTCTCCACATTAGAATCAAATATCCTTACCTGTCAGTTTCCTCTTTCACACTTGGATTTTAAGCCTACGCAGCGCTTTACGTTACTGACGCATGCATTCAAATTCGATAGTTGAGCATTATATTATCAATATATGTTTCGAAACCAATATATTTAACACACTTGATGATATGCAGATACGTGTTTCCTTTCCATCCATGTGTCATCAGTCATTGATCATCACCTCATAAATAAATATACACATATTTTTAAAATAAGATAGTTTTCTAACTGCGTTAAGCAAAAACACATGTTTTCTACCAATTGAGTCACGTGTATTTATAATTTAAAGCATAAGGTAAAAGCGCTAGTAAAAATATGCTTCTGAATAAATTTGCTGTTTATGTTTATATCATACATTTCTGGAGAGCAGCTGCAGAGAATTTAGGCTTTCAAAGATTCTAAATTTTAAATTTTAAACATGAGAAGAATTTAAAAAATCACCATTTCATTTTTATGATTGATTATTTTATAACATTTTCATGTAAAAAATCTGAACTGTAGCCAATATTTATTTTTGAGCTATTTGATTCATCTTAACGAATAATACCATTTTAACTTGAATATTAAATATTAATTATACCTAAGCAACCAAGTAAATGCTTCAAGTAGTAAATGAAACTAATTTTTACAACAAATATAAGTACTTATAATTTATATAGCTACATTCGTAACATACCTACATTCATTCATAGTAAATCATATATTAAAACTGTGCAAACTGTACCTGATGTAATGCTTCATTTCCTTATTTTTTCTTCCATAAATTTCTAGAATATAATCTACGATTTCAGACTTCAGAACTGGAATCATATGAAAACAGTCAAAATTTTAAAATAATGCTTACCTTCTTGTTGAGCTTAATGTTTGTAAAAATGGCGTGCACTCTCCACGTTTTACTGAACATGGACCCAAATGCCAAAGTAAAACCGGACATCAAGACCCAAGCTCTTGCCTGAAAGAGCAAACTGTTGTAAGATATCATTGCGTGATATTACAGTTATTTAAGAGATAAGAAGCAACTGATTACAAGTGAATTCTTTAAAAACTATATCATAATCAAAAACTGATTCTGTAAAGAAGGGAAGACTTACTGCACAGATGTATGGAAAGTTACTTTCACTGCTGAGGCCACTGTCCATGCCAAGAAGTATGACACTTGTGTATGTCAGCATACATCCTACTACTATAATATTGTTTAAGTATGGGCTAGACATCTTTATGTATCTGAAATGTAGAAAAATGTAGCTCTTAATTTAAAAAGTTTCGTAATATTTCACAATTCTAAAGGAGAATTTTTAGTAAATAAAAAAGTTACACAATTAAACTTTATACAGTTGAATTTTTTTTACGTTTATGCTTTTAATTATTTATTCCAGATACATACAAGGTGGTCCCAAACTCCATAATGATTTCGATATTTATATGAATTAAACATTACGTTCTACTCGAAAATAAATCGTAAAGAGAGTGGATCCTTTTTGACAAAGCCTAAACATTTAATACACATTATCAATAATGATCACATTTAGAATTGCAAAAGAAATGATTTAATAGTATGTAAGCGATTAGTTACATATAAAAAAGTCATTATTGAGGATATTCACTAAAAGAATAAATTATCCAATTCCACAATTAGTACTATTCAGTTCACTGATATGGTGCAGGTGATAAGTTTGGGGACGCCAGGTACTTCGTCGATGAATGTACCCTTACCCGGAGTGCAAGAGAGAAATATAGAAAGAATTTTAAGGAAGATTTTAAAAAGGAGCCATTCAAATTTGAAAGATATTGCAGAAACAATAATGAAGATTATAAATACGAACAAAGATAGAATTGGAATTCGGCACTCGGATTTTATACGTTTTTTTCCTAACCAGTCCCATTTTTTAATCATACGGCCGGCTTGTGCCGGCTGGGAGGACCGGGCTGTGCCCTTATAATTATAATGATAATGATAATGGTGCAGCACTATTTATTACTTTCTTTTATCCGCATTCCGTTATCCTTTGGTTCAATTTCTGTGGAGCTGGGAAAATTGTATGAACGTTAGGTAATCATGTAAAATGCTGAAGGAGGGCTATTATTATTACTAATTAATTAAAGTATTATGAGAAATACCAAACATTTTACAGTGATGGCATCATAGATATTGTAGTAATCATTTGCATTACTTGTCAGCATTTTAAATTTTTTATTTATTTTTGTAATATTATGTATAGTTCTCATATAAGAACTGGTAGAAAGATTCTCATAGTTTCAATGTAATTATAAATATTTATTTATTTAATGTATTTTATGTAATTGTTTTATAGTATATTTTTGTTTAATGGAATTTGTGGATACATATTTTATTTTAAATATACTTCGAGTATTATGGTGTTCACTAAGTCAATCGGTATTTGAATTAAGGACAGCTCAAATAGAACCAGAGATCGTACGCAGTCTTATAAAAAAGTACATATTTGCAGTTTCAGTAACTTTGTGTACACTTTTTGTGTTATAGCTTGCTGTTAAAATTATTAAATGTTTCGTTGATATATTGCGTACGGGTTCGTTATGAAATGAATGCACAAGTCCGATGAAAAATGAACAAAAATTTATTATTATCACAACAAAAATGCTTAAATTTTCTCAATTTATCATGCAGTATTACAATATCTCACAGTAGTTATCTTTTAACTACTCAAATGTCCAATAGAACGTAATTCAAAACAGCTAAAGAACGCTAATCCGCGAATTCGCTACAATCAACAAGAGCAGTTTTCTAAACAACAACAAACTAAGCAACTACTACAAACTGAGATGTTTTCCTCCTTTTATAAGATTTTAAAATCACGCGCTAGAATTTTCCAGTACTTTCTCGAAATCAAAAAGAGATATTTATTTATTTAATGCACGCGCTCTTGTATTTTCAATTTTCCGGCTTAGCTTTCTTTTAATATTCGTCACGCGCTGCACTGCGCGAGAAATAAAACCATTTAATTTATAATTGAACTAACATTAGCTTTTTAAATACCAAATTCGTAACACTGCCCCCTTCCCAAGGACTGCACGTCCCGGGCAGTACAGTCCCTGGACAGGAAGCTAAACTTACAACTGTGGCATAAATGCATTAATAAGCATTACATTACAATAATAAACAACATGAACAATAAATGCAATAAATAAAACAAATCAAATGCTATCAAATACAAATCAAATACTAAATACAAATCAAATCAAATACTAAATACAAATCAAATCAAATACACATTTAAAAACAAAAAGGACCATGGTCTTATACTATTTACAATTATTTACATTACGTACTATGGCCATAGTAATGAGCTAACCTGTCGTAATGAACGACTTTAGGTTTAGAGTTCGAAGACTTACGAATCCGAACCACGACGTCATTCAGCCTGTTTAGGACCGTGTACGGACCATCCCAAGGTGACTGTAGTTTCGGACAGAGTCCCTTCCGTCGAGTCGGATTCCACAACCACACCTTGTCTCCTTCGTGGAATTGATGTTCAGTAGCTCTTGTGTCGTATCGGGTCTTCATCTCCGTCGCCAAGTTGACTCGCTCTCGTGCAAAGTTGTGCATCACTTCAAACCGGGCCTGGTAGATCTTGAATATATTCCTCAGGACGATGAAGGAGCATCCGGAGGGCGACCAAACAATAGATCACAAGGCAGACGAAGGTCACGACCGAAGAGCATCTGTGATGGGAGAATAGCCGGTAGTCTCGTGGACAGCACTGCGGTAAGCCAGTAAAAAGAGTGGTAATTTCTTGTCCCAGTCCTGTTGGTTTCTGGAAACCACTAATGAGAGGTTATTAAGGATGGTTCAATTGAACCTCTCTACCATGCCGTCCGACTGGGGGATGCAATGGCGTCGTTTGAGTTTTGTCAATGCCGAGTAGTTTGCATAGTTCTTTGATTACTGCCGAGGCAAAATTCCTTCCCTGATCGGAATGTAACTGAAGAGGGACTCCGAACCTGGAAATCCAGTGCTGTATCATTACCTCAGCTACTGTGACAGCCTCTTGATCAGGAATAGGATAAGCTTCAGGCCACTTGGTGAAGTAATCAATGACAACGAGTATGGAGTATGTATTTGTTGCCATCAGCAGTTCGTGGCAGAGGTCCCAAGATGTCAAAGGCGATACGTTCAAACACGCACCTACGTTGTAACGTTGCAGCTTGCCTCGGCTGCGTTTCCTCGGTCCTTTCCGACCTGCACAGGCATCGCAAGATCGGCACCACTTTTGCACGTCATCCTTTGCATTATTCCAGTAAAAGCGCTCACGAACTCTCTGTAAGGTCTTCATAATTCCAAAGTGATCTCCTGTAGGGCTGTTATGTAGTTCTTTAAGGACATCAGGAATCCGGGATCTTGGAAGTATCAGTTGCCATCGGAACGTCTTCCCATCATCCGATTCGAATTTCCGGTATAAGACGCCGTTTCGAATGTGAAGTGAATCCCAGAGTGCCCAGTATTGTTTTGTTGTAGGACTACAGATAGAAATGTCCTGCCATGTAGGTTTTTCTGTTTGATGACTCCATTAAATCAAGTATGGGTTTGATGTAGCGGTCTTACAGCTGGTCTTTCCTGACTTTATCATCACTCCACGGGTCTCGATCAGCCGATGTTGATGTTGTAATTTGTCTTGCGACCGGAGTCAGCAGCTCGTATTTCGCTTCCACCCTGGAACAATATCGGCAGCTTTCTGGGGCAAGGTCGTCTAGACAGGGCGTCGGCGTTCCCGTGTGATGATCCCTTACGATGACGGATAGTGATGTCATATTCTTGGAGTCTCTGTATCCACCTGGCTATTTGACCCTCAGGATTCTTGAAATTTAAAAGCCAGTTCAATGATGCATGGTCCGTGCGGAGGAGGAATTTTCTGCCGTATAGATAATGATGGAAATGTTCTACAGCTTTGACTATGGCGAGCAATTCTTTCCTGGTGACACAGTAATTCCTCTCCGGTTTAGACAGGCATTTGCTCCAGTACGCTACTACACGTTCTTGTCCGTCTATTTCTTGGGACAAAACCGCACCGACACATTCATTGCTCGCGTCCGTGTCGAGAATAAATGGTCTGTCGAGCTGAGGATACGTCAGGATTGGAGCAGATGTCAATGATTCCTTTAAGTCGCTAAATGCATCCTCGCATTCTTTTGTCCACAAAAACCTTTGCTTGCTCTCTGTCAGCTTGTGAAGGGGTCTTGCGATAAAGAAAAGTCCTTCACGAATCTCCTATAGTAGGTGCAAAGCCCTAGGAAGCTTCTCAGCTGATGGACATTTTCGGGACGTTTCCAGGATTTAAAACCGCTGATACCTTTTCAGGATCCGTGCGTACACCTTCTGCAGAGATGACATGTCCCAGGTAAGTCACTTCCTTTCGGAACAATTTGCATTTAGCGGGACTCAGCTTCAGATTGGCTTCTCTCAGTTTCTGAAGCACCTTCCTAAGATTTTCTAAATGTTTTTCAAAACTCTTTCCGACGATGATGATGTCGTCCAGGTATATCAGGCAGGCTTCGTAGGAAAGGCCTTTCAAAACAGTCTCCATGAGGCGTTCGAATGTTGCCGGCGCATTACACAGTCCAAACGGCATCACCTTGAATTGCCAAAGCCCTTGTCCCGTAGTAAATGCCGTCTTTTCTCGGTCATCAGGATGGATTTCTACCTGCCAATACCCACTCTTTAAATCAAGTGTTGAGAACCACTTGCTTCCAGAAAGAGTGTCTAGAATGTCATCAATTCTAGGAAGAGGGTAACTGTCTTTCTTCGTAACCTCATTTAACCGGCGATAGTCAACGCGAAATCTTGTTGAGACGTCTTTCTTTCTGACGAGAACAATGGGGGATGCCCTTGGACTCGCTGAAGGCTCGATGACATCGCCTTCTTCCATATCTTTTAACAGTGTTCGCACCTCTTCCTGTTTAGCAAACGGTAGACGTCTTGGATGTTGCTTGATCAGGGGATGATCGCCGGTATCGATTCTATGTTGTGTCAAACTAGTTCGACCCACGTCAGAAGACGAGCGGGAGAAAACAACTTGAAGATCTTTAATGAGGACGCGATCGGCAGCATTTCTCTCTTATCGTTTAATTTTGCATTCTGCAATAACTCCGATGTAATGCTCTCTGAGGACACGGGTTCTGGGATGTTACTACTCTTTCTTTCAACGCTGGTTACTGGAGTACATGCTGCAACCACTTCACCTTTCTTT